CGATGTTTTTCAACACGAGGAGAGAATTTTCGCATCTCCAAGCGGCCGTGTAAGATCCTCTATTTACTTTTAATCTGGAAGTATTACGAATATATACAACTCAGAGTCAATCCATAGGCGCACTAGCACTCCTGCCTTTGAGAAAGCCCCGCACCGATCCAAAGCTGTTTTGTCTAAGGATTGGCCAATAGGCGAGAGCAATGGAGGGCAAAGGGGACCAATCACAGTGCCGCTTTTAAGTCGTTCAGTTCCGACAGCATTTTATGAAAAATTAGGAAGACTTTGGCTGTCCTCCCAGCTTAAGCGAAGTTAATATTGGTTAAGGCATAAGTAATATGGTTATGATTCATAATTGCAATTTTCAGATTTAACTTATTAAAAGTATAATAGATCATCCTATATATCTTTCTTCAAATGGAACCTGCCTTGCTGAAGCTTCTGTAGTTTTTAAAACCAAGGAAAGATTTTGCTCGTGCTAAGTTACCGTTTAAGTTTTCGCCATTAATTTATCGTTGGCCGGCGAACGGTGACTTTACATGCTTGTTACACTCAGTTTTTGATAAATAACTTAGAAATCGATCTGAAAGCTTATTAAAACTCGTGAGGTTTGTGATAACAACAAAGCCTTGCATGTTGCTTAAACACAGTGATGCCGACAGATTTGGAATTCACTAGATTAGAATCGAATAATATTCTCAGCCGAGTGGCGCTAGGCAGTTAATAAAGTAAGTTAACTGAGATGGACACTGAATATATCAATTTTACTTTAAATTGACTGACCTGGGACCTCTAGTCCACATTCATCTGTATAATAATATAAAACAAAAAACAGAGTCAGCAAAAAGGTGCAACTTAATAAAAAGGCAAGGAAAGGATTGATTTTAAAATTTTTATTTCACTTACGGTTATTCTCACGATGCAGTGCATTTATTGTAATACGATTTGGCTGATTATTAGATCAGTTTTGTTGGCAAGGATAAACGATTTTTCCAGCCACCATTGAAGCCATTAAGGAATAGATTATTTCCTACATGGATGAATTTTTCTTTTGGGGTCGGTTCGTTCTGATGCAGGATAGCACATAAATACACTTGATAGGGGGCATAATTTACAGCTAAAGACTGTCACTAGTCTTTCTTATGGCCCTATGAGTAATAAACTAAAATCATATAATTGTAAAACTACAATAATGTTCAATTAATGAAAAAGCTAAAATATGTCATATCAATTCCAAAGCTGTCGGGATTGAATTTCCTCATGATAGAATCAAAGTAACTTCTTTTCAATTTCTTCACAGTACAAAAGCAGACTAGCACCCTAAATCATAGAAATTGTCCACAGTCTAACACTATTATAAATGTGAAAAAAATTTGTAATTGACTTAGCTTTGAAATGAATGATGCATCCACAGGTTGATTTCCAACAAAATTGATCGATAAGTTAAGCTTTATGAAGCTCAATATGATATT